TGGGTTGCATATTAGGAAGAACTTACTTTGAATGTGGCTAAGCATTGAAACAGGCTCCCTAGAGAGGTCATGGGATCTCCATCCTTGGAAGATTTTAAGCACAAGTTAGATAAACATTTGTCTAGGATAATTGAGTAGGGGTTGGACTCTTGAGGTCCCTTCCAGCTCTACTTTTCTTTAACCCTGTGTGTGTGCATTGGGGGTAGGGTGGGGAGGGAGAGAAAGGGAGAGTGTTACTTGCTGGTATGCCCTTATTATTATTGCAAATAAAACATTGCGAGATTTTAAGAATCTCCAAGCTATTTTTAAAAAGGAGTGATTACTGTTGTAGTATGACTTCTTTATTATTTTTTTTTAATCTGTTGGACCAATATATCTCAACTTTTGCAGCATCTGGGAAAGAAATTATATTTCAAAACACCAAAGATGTTACAAGAGCCAAGAATATCCTTTCTGTAGAAGTGATAGCTTTTTTCACTGTTGCCTGAGTCTGACTCATATTGGACTACTTTGGATTCATATTCAGGTCTTCAGAATTCAGGAGAAAGCTTTATATAGAGTTGGACTGATCCAGGAATTTGTTCATGAAAAAGCATAGCATCTAGTTATCTGGGGCTCAACAGAAGCACTGTTACTCTAGTACAGGAGTGGGCAATTATATTAGCTGGCAGACCACTTACCGAGTTTTAGTGACCTGTCACACAAGGCTGCACACATGCAATCTTTCAGAAGATATCATTTTAACAACATATAGATAAAAAACAAACCATATACTAAAAATCAAACATTTACTTATAACATTTTAATTTTATTTTAAAAAATTATTTTTGTCTTGATTTATGTTTTTGAGTAGTGTAATATAGAGGCGATTGCATAATAGCTCAACATAAAGTCTTACTCCTGTGTATTGTGTGTGGGGAAGGGTATGCCTGGAGGCGGAGCTGGACAGGGATGGGGGGAAGGAGGCAGTCAGGGACAGGTGGAGCATGCAGCAGAGCTTGCTTGGGCAGTGCACTGCAGGTTTCATTCCCCCACCCCCTCCTGCATCTGACCCATGGCTGCCCCTGTGGCACTCTCTGTGGGGCTGAACCCACACTGCTCTTGTGCCTGCTGATGGCCCTGAGCCCTGGCCATCGGGCAGCACGCACAACTTCCTGGTGGAGCTACTCCCAGTGTGACTGCAGCTGCCCAGCGCCCCCAACCTTCAGCAGCTCCTCTTCCTCCTCCTACCCCTGCTGTGCTGCTCCTGTTAACAGTAGCGTAGGGAAGGGCATCAGCCTTGGGAACATATGCCAGGCACCACACACACACAGCTGGGTGGGGGGAAACCTGCAGCTGGGTGGTTCCTGCCCCAGTGTGTGTGGGGCTCCAAGTTCAGCTCCCAACCACCTTCCACCCTCTTGGCCGCTCACAGGTGTCTGCTCGTCATGCTGGGTGGGCAGAGTGTGTGGAAGGTAGCTACCCTTCAGCAACTTAAAACACTTCTGAAGGGCATTTTAGCCAGGATTACTTTGTTATAAACTGTTTCTTAATTCATCAAAACATAGCTTTTATTGCTAGTTAGAGAGAGAAATATCTATGTCCAGATGAGAAGTGTACAGAGCACTATACACAGATTACTGTCAATGGTATGGAATTTCTACAAAGCATTACTTATTCTTTTTTTAAGGCATCCGGGTGATGTCTGATTGTGAAAAAGTGTCATTCAGCAGAGCTAAGCAGGGTAGACAAGACAGACAGTAACAGTAAAAAACTGGTGCTCCTCCAGATTTTGGTTCCACTAATCAGTTAAGATTACTCAGTGATCTTAGCAAGGGGAGCAAAGAAAAAGAGGACATTTGAATTCCTTGACCAGATGTTCCATTTCTTTCTCCTAGATTTATTTCACTAGTTTTCATTCTGATCAGGGAATCATTGCAAGCAGCTGTGTTTTCAAAATTAATTTTTATGTTGTCATCAAATTGTTTAGAAGCCTAAAGGGAATTCAGCTGTTGGTTTTGACAGAAGACTAACATTTCAGACTAGACATTTTTAGCTGACTAAAGCCTGATAATCTTGCTCCTTTTACTGCCATATAAACATAAAGGGTATGGCTCAGTCCCAGCTCCTGAGTTTCCTGAGGTTAAGAACTGCAAGTTCTACTCTGAAAAGGTACTCTGTAAAAAACTTATCCTGGAGTTCCCTACTTACTGGCTTTCAGCATCAAGTTTGTTCAGTTAAAAGTAAGAAAAGTTGTTTTCTCTAACTGTCGGTGCTAAAGCTGGACCTGGCTCTGACAGTTGAGCTGACCACTTTTCCGCTCACAGCCTGGTGGCTGCCTACAAACTCATCAGGGGAGATCAACAGCAAATAGGTAGAGCCCTTTTCTCCCCAGCACCACCTAGGGTGATGAGGAACAATGGTAATAAGCTGATGGAGAATAGGTTTAGGTTAGAGATCAGAAGGCAATATTTTACAGTTAGGGTGGCCAAAATCTGGAACCAACTTCCCAGGGAAGTGGTCCTCGCCCCTACCTTGGGCAAATTCAAGAGGAGGTTGGATGATCACCTGTCTGGGGTCTTGTGAACCCAGCATTCATTCCTGCCTGTGGCAGGGGGTCAGGCTAGATCTGTTCAGGTCCCTCCTGACCCTAGCTACTATGAAACTATGAGAGCATCCCATATACCTCGACTGCACCTTAGCTACATCTCTAGTACATCTTGTTGGGCTAGGGTTACTGAAGTGGATGGATGTGCAGGAATAACGCTTGTTTTTCATACTATAGGGTGAGGATGCAGGGCTAGAAGTGCTAAAGAACCTCCTTTTACTTATAATCTGAACAAATTTCTAATCTGCCAGAATGGAGTTGTGCTGAATGGTCCAAAGAGCAAAGGTGAGGTTGTACATTCAGCATGCACCTGACTGAAAACACCGCTGTTTCCCCTTTTCTTACCTATTCCATGTCATAGACTTCTCGCTCCTGCTTTCTAACATCACTCAGCATTCAGTGTGCAGTTAATGTTACTTCAGTCACAGCTCCCTTCTGGGGTCTTCAAATTTTCTGTAGGGGTAAGTTAAGAAACTTTTCCTTGTTTTGTATATTACTTGTACAGCCTTGCAAACTTGCAGTATTATACCACGGGAGAAGACAAAGCCATTATACATACGCAGTGTTGAATACTGTGTTCATTATACTTTTCCATCTGCCTCCACGAGGAATTACTGACTTCAAGACTGTACCTTCAATTTTAGCATTTTAAGAGCCTTCCAAGTTGATGCAGATAGGGCCAGATGCAAGGGGTTGCAGCAGTGTTGACACACTCTCTTTCTGCCACTGCCACAACTGTCCCCAACTGATTAAGGCACAGGGGGAGACTTTCCTGCCTCACTCTGCTGCTGCAGCACCCCACACAGCCACACACTCAAATTCAAACAATACCAATGATTTTGTACATTTGCCTTTTCCTGCTTTCTAATTTTGCTAAGAACAATTTTAGGGTCTTTATAATCCAGCATTCTTTATGAGCTGACTGCTGTCTTCAAATCTCACAGAATTTGAGAAATGGAAAATGTATTGATTCTTCAGGTATATCTTTTGAGACCTATTGGGAAGCAGGGAGAAGGTCATAAGATCTAAAGGGAAAGGAGAAGGCCCTGGTGAATGAAAAAGAATAAGGTAGGTTTTAAAGTAGAAGTTTGGACAGGGCAGGAAATCTGCCCTGAATAATCATTCAGACATTCAAGGACAGAAGTGTTCACCCCTCTCAAACTCTTATCTGTTTGCTTCCTTATTACTTTGAGAGTTGTCCAACAAAGCAAGATTATGCATTATCGCAAGGTAACATTTTGCAGGCTCTGACATTTTATTTTAGGATCCTTTTATGTTTTGTAAATAAGGCCATAAGAATCAGGGATTATTTTATGAAATTCAGAAGCTTTAGGAATGATATTTAACAGTACTTCCTTTATTCTCACAAAAAGAACAGATTTCTATTCTTTCTGAGTGAAATCCAGAGACTCCGAGAGCCAAAGTTCATAGCTAGTTTATATATATTAACAAAATATAAACTATTGGGGTTATATTAAACAGTTTCTGCAAGACACTTGAATGTCATGTTGTTTTGTTTGGCTCCTCAATTAGTATATATTACACGTCTTAAAAATATTAAAAACGAAAGTGATTATTTCATACTTTAATGTGAATAGATATGAAAAATGCTTTTTATTAAAACATTTTTCTCTCTGTAAGAGGTCAGTGGTGTGCTGCTTGAAGGCAAGTTGACTCTCTGCTGGATAGTAATATTCTGACCTTTGAAAAATCTCCTGCCATGCCTTGATGTTAGAGAGAGAGGTGCCAAACACTTTTGGGAGACAAAAGGATCGGTTAAAGGCTCAGGAGGTCAGCTTATCTTTGCTGGGCTCCACAATCCCCATACCCTGCCCTAACTATACCAGATGTTCCAGGCCTGTTGTTGCTTGCCTACTGGACTAAGGGTCTGGTCTTAGTCTTATGGCCTCTTTGTCGAGGGTCCTCTTCTAAGTTGGCCGCTCGCCCTGTTCTTCCTTGCACAGGTCCCAAGACAGCCATCTCTTGGTTATAATCCTACCCTTACCTTCAGGGTCAGGACAGACTTATCCCTCTTTGGGGTATAATTTTGTCCATGTCTCTTTTCTCCTTTAGGATCCCAAATTGATTATCTCCACCCCTCGAGACTGGACTCACCAACAGAGCAGTCTCCTCCATCTTTTTGCTGGCTCTCATCAGGTAAGTCAGGGGACCAGGGCTGTCCTCCGAGCCTTGGGGTTGGTCCCTTCTCCCGTTGTCTCTTGCTGTCTTCTCTGTCTTCACCTTGCTCCCCGCTTCTCTGAACTGACCCCAGATGTTCCCTTGGTGTCCCTTTAAATTCCTTTTCACGCTGACTGTCTCTCCCGTGGCAGCGTCTGATTCGCTGTTTTCCTTTTAGTTTTTCGGTGTGGCTTTTTTCTTATTCTGCTGTACCATTCTCCCTGTCCCAGGCTCAAATTCCTGCAGCTGGGCTTGCTGCGACACCCTTTGAACTGCTGTGGCCCCAGCTGGTTCCCTTAATTAGTCGGGGTATCTTTCCCGCCTCAGCTTGGTGCAGTTTCTTCAGCATCTCCGGGTAAGTTTATTTTCTTTGTATTCCTCCTTGTGTTCCTGTGTCAGGGTGCTTCAGCCACTCTGTCACACTCTCCTTGTGAAATATTTAATATGTTTTTTAATAATATAATATTTGGGTATTTTAAGCATCACAGTTAAATTACGTACAATTCACACTGCTTCCAGGACTAGTTGCTGATGTTTAGAGGGGGTGTTTCTGCAGCATCACCTCTATCAGAACTGATGGCTCATCATTCCTCAGCCTTCATTGCTGAATTAAAAGTTTTCAAGAGAGGGAAGTTTAGCACTGTACCGTGACAATGGTTACAGCTGGCTCCATTCTGATTCAGCTTCATCTAAAATTGCAGTGTCCCAGTCTCCCAAATTTCAGTCTGTGCTTTGTCAGCAGTAACTTTCTTCAAGCATACAGTTGTTATAGAGAGAGTCTCTCAGGCAACTGTATGATAGCCTTTTAAAGACACTGGAGTCTAAACAGAACTTAGAAGTGCTATCTGAAGTTAAAAAGGGGAACAAAGTGGTGAAGTATGGTGTACACCAACATGCTGTACATTGACGGGCTTCCTTGCTTAAAAGATAGGCAGCTGCTAAACTGCAGTTCTAGTCGAACTTCTGCTTCATCATCCAAAAGAATGAATTACAGCAGTCTAACCCGCAGGTAACATGGATGATAATGACTAGATCACCATCCAGGAAGAATGAACATTTATATATCCTAACTGGGCCATTCCTTGTGATTATTGTTCTCCATGTGATGACAGATATTGCATTTATGTATGGTATTAGAAATACCAGTGAGAGACATTTGTTGTGTTGACATCAATGGGCACGTCCATAGGAACACACATGTGCAATATGTGGCACTGCAGACCTGTCTGTGATGCTGCATGCTGCATACTGCATGCATTGCACATGCAGGCATTCCCTGTGCTGCTAATTTTAAGCACAGAGGGTTTTTTGACACCAGGAGATCCAGTTTTCATTTAATATGTTGAGTGACTTCCAGTGTTGTCTGTGCACTCTTAATTAGCTCGAACCTACCAGATCTGCTTTTCCACTTCAGTGGCTGCTTTTCTCTTTCTTCTATGTATATGTGACTCTACAGACACTAAGATTAGGGTTCAGTGCATTGCAACATAAAGTAATTTTCTTTGCAATCCAAGCCTGCAAAGATATACTTAGGTTGAAGTGATTAGATCAGTGTTTCTATTTGGGTAAATGATGAGAACTGTTTTGCTGAACATCTGTATTTCTGTTTTCAAACTGTCCACTTCAAGGGTGGGGGGAGGAGAAAAAGCTGATGGCTGTTGTGGGTATTTTGGTTTGGGGGGG